TCTTCAATTAAAAATATCAAGTCTAAACATGAGGAGTGTTCTTTTAGTTTTCGCTTTAGGCTTTACGCTAATTTCGGGTCAGGTAAGTCCTGTTATATAATATACAAATCATTGATATAGAAGTAAGTTAATTTGGTTTCAGGATTGGACCGAAGTTCATACGAGAGTCTTTGCATTGTCCCATTTTTGCACGATTTCCAACATACTCAACAGTAAATTAATTGTGAAATCGATGCAGGGTAAGTTCAACGATGATCCGAAGTTCTTGACCTACACAAGCTGCATAGCCACATCAATGGGTGTCATGGATGAAGATGGAAAGTTTGAAGAAGATATTATGATGTCGAGTATTCTGTACGTTTGGAAGATGATGATGAATAAATGCCTTGTCGATGCGAAGAAGGAGACAAGCAGCGAGAAGCGATCTTTCGAGTTCGCCAAATGTTTGTGGAAAAATTTAAATTTAGCTGACAAAACTTTTGATAATTAATACGAAGAGTTTCAATTTTAAACCATTCGGCTATTAGTTGCCCTTCCAGTTACTTTAAATAATAATTTTATCCCACAAGCTGATGATGCCAAATACCTGGGTATAATTTTAGATCGCAGACTTACATGAAAAAAAAAACACATAATAACTAAACGTCAATCACGTTTCTACGATTTACTTTTTGAGTAATTTACAAAAATATAATTTTTCGTTCTTTTAATTTTGATAGTAAATTACGGTTACAAATATACAACCTTTGAATCCTCATATATTCAGCTTTCATTTCTATATTCAATCATCTTTCTACCATTTGTACTTTTCGAGTAATTTTGTATATTGCATTTAGTTTGAAATTTAGGTAGAACTTGTTTTATGCATTTTGACGTATCTTTTGACGCACTTTGATTTATCTAGAAGCATATTTATAATAAACACGCTCCAATTTATCTAGAATATTTCTTAATTGCCAACGAAAATCGTAACACCGTTATCAACATTCTCGATATAAAATCAAACAGATCCTGCACATCTTCAATTAAAACTATCAAGTCTAAACATGAGGAGTGTTCTTTTAGTTTTCGTTTTAGCCTTTCCGCTAATTTCAGGTCAAGTAAGTCCTGTTATATAACATAAAAATCATTGCTATAGAAGTAAGTTAATTTGGTTTCAGGATTGAACCGAAGTTAAAAAAAGAGTCTATGCATTGTCCTATTATTGCATGATTTCCACCAATGTCGACTATGAATTAGTTGAAAAATCGATGGAGGGTAAGTTAGTCGATGATCCGAAATTCTTGGACTACACATTCTGCATAGCCACAGCGCTGGACCTTATGGATGAAGATGGAAACTTTGAAGAAAATAATTTCGTAACGCTTATTCTGGACAATTGGAAGATGATGATGAATAAATGTGTTGTAGATGCGAAGAAGGAGACAGGCAGCGAGAAGCGATCTTTTGAGTTCGTCAAATGTTTGTGGAAAAATTTAAATGAGACTGACACGGTTGTTAATTAATACGAAGAGTTTCAATTTTGAATTACAACAATTATAAATAAATTAAAGTAATTTTTGTGTTTTTCTTTCAAATAATTTTCATTATATTAATAACTAATGCGATTTATATCTAATGAAACAAAATAAACAACAAACAACATTCATCCCAAAGAAAGAAACCTGTCCTCCAGTTACTTTTTTATGTCGTGTAATTTTATTCACAATCTGTTCATCAATGTGAACATTTAGTGAATTTAAGATCGCGGTTGACATTAGGTAGGTAGTTTTTTCAGGTGGATGGTAGGTTGGCTGTCGTCTTGTAGGTTAACTTCAGTAGTTTATTGATGCTCTACGATTCCACTATTTCCTTTGATTTGAATCTGCTGCTATCATTGACACTGTCATTGTCCATCGACTTGACTGAAGGTCCATATGCTGAACCTCATTCATTTCACTGTCCATCTGTGATGAACGATGGCCCTATTGCTACAAGCAATAATTATTTAATTTTCCACTAACCATGATCTTTTGCATTTAATTAATATCTACTAACATCTTTATAGATATTTCTGAAACCTGTTAAATCAGTATAACTTAATTTATAATTATTTGGATGTTATTTCCTACTTATAGTACAACTTCGTACCAAAAACTGTCTCAATGTTTTCAATTGCGTTTCTCCAAAAAGTGTAAATGTCATTTCTCCTTTATCATATTAAAAATTTAATTCTTTATATCGAAGCTTCATCAACAGAGGTAATGAGGTATAACTGAATTAAAATAAAATTTAAATTAAAAAAAAATATACAATATTTCGAATCGTTATTTAAAGATAATAATGACGTCATATAAACGGGATGTAGTGATCACCACATTTTTAAACAAAAAACTGTTATCAAATTATGTATTTTATCGAGAGAAGATTTCCTAATACGTTTTATCAAAATCTTCGCTGCATATTTAAAATCTCTCTCTATATATAAGAGCACTACGTCTGATAATTGGACGCAATTAAAAATTTTGAGCGAAAAGATGAAGATCGTTTTTGCGGTTATCGTTTTAGCTGTAACTATAATTTCGGCTGACGTAAGTGTTTTGTAATATGTTCATTTTGGTACCTTTTTGATATATTTTCAATTTATCTTCAGGTCTTTGGCGAGTTTGAACTGAAATTGGCCAACTACTCCCAGAGTTGCCAAGAATTGAGCCAAGTCGATCCGGATTTGATCGAGAATGATGTATTCGTCGAGGATCCGAAATTCATGCAGTTCACCTCTTGTATTACCAAGAGTTTGAACGTAGTAGATGCCGAAGGGAATTTCAAGGAGAAGAATTTTATGATCATTCTGATGGATAATGCTAACTTGGTCCTGGAAAAATGCAAAGCTGAGGGCGAAAAGGAGACGGGACATGGGAAGAGATCTTTCACCTATTTGAGATGTTTGCACTATAGTGTTCTGAAAGACGTCAATTTTATGAAGAATGTTTTTGATTAATGTACGTGCTGTAATCATGCAATGATAAAATGTACTTTCCTTAGTTAATAAATATTTTCTACTATTGTATCTAATTGTATCTATATCTAGAAATATAATAAAATACAACTTTTTTTTCACAAATCTTCAGATTTCATTTCCATATTTAATCAACTTTCTACGATTTATACTTTTCGAGTAATTTATGAAAATGTGAAGACACTGCTTTTTCAAAGTTTAATTTTTCGTTCTTTTATAATTGACTGCTACTTACATCCTAGAGTTACAAAAATGATACAATACACTTTTGATTTCACAAGTATTAAAATTTAATTTCCATTGCCAATCACGTTTCTACGATTTACTTTTTGAGTAATTTACAAAAATATAATTTTTCGTTCTTTCAATTTTGTTAGCAAATTACAGTTACAACCTTTGAATACTTATATATTCAGCTTTCATTTCTATCTTCAATCATCTTTAATAATATAATTAATTTAATAATAATTTTGTATATTACATTTAGTTTGGAATTTGGGTAGCACATGTTTTATGCATTTTGACGTATTTTCGCACTTTGATGAAGCATATTTATAATAAACACGCTCCAATTTATCTAGAATATTTCTTAATTGCCAACAAAGATGAAGATTCTGCACATCTTCAATTAAAAATATCAAGTCTAAACATGAGGAGTGTTCTCTTAGTTTTCTCTTTAATTTTTGAGCAATTTACAAAAAAAAAAATTCGTTCTTTTGAAAACAAATTACAGTTAGAAATATAAAACTTTCGAATCCTTTCCACTATTTATACTTTTCGAGTAATTTTGTACATTATATTTAGTTTGTAAATTAGGTAGCACATGTTTTATACATTTTGATGTATTTCCGCACTTTGATTTATCTATAAGCATATTTATAATAAACACGCTCCAATTTATCTACAATATTTCATAATTGCAAACGAATGTCATACTAGCGTTATCAACATTCTCGATATAAAAGCAAACAGATCCTGCACATCTTCAATTAAAAATATCAAGTCTAAACATGAAGAGTGTTTTTTTAGTTTTCGCTTTAGCCTTTACGCTAACTTCGGGTGTGGTAAGTCCTGTTATATAACATAAAAATTATATGAGTAAGTTAATTTAGTTTGAGGATTGGCCTGAAGTTAGAGCGGATATCTATGAATTGTCCGAACTATGCGTGAATTACACCAATATCGACAATGAATTAGTTGTGAAATCGATGCAGGGTGAGTACGTCGATGATCCGAAATTCTTGGAATACTCATCCTGCATAGCCACAGAGTTGGGAGTCATAGATGAAGATGGAAAGTTTGTAAAATATAATGTCCTGAAGATTTTTATAGAACTTATGAAGATCGAGGTGTATAAATGCATTGTCCATGCGAAGAAGGAGACAAGCAGCGAGAAGCGATCTTTCGAGTTTTACAAATGTTTTTTAACATCTTTTGATGATTAATACAGAAGAGTTTCTATTTCGAATTACACCAATTATAAATAAATTAAAGTATTTTTTGTGTTTTTCTTTAAAATAATTTTCATTATATTAATAAATTATAAATTATATTAAAAATATAACTTATATAATTTTAACTAATGATACAAAATCAACAACAAACAACTTTCACCCCAAAGAAAGGAATTTTATTCACAATCTGGTTATCATTGTGAACATTGAGTAAATTTAAAATCGTTGACATTAGGTAGGTAATCTTTACCGGTGGATGGTTACCATAATGATGATTTTTTCTGCCATAATGACAGATTGTAAATAATAAATTTAATACAAAAAAAACAAGAATATTAAAAATTAAATGTGCTCTAACTGCATTTTTTTTTCGAATAAATGTGCAAGCAACGCGTTATTTAAATTCCTCAACTATGTAATTATGTTTAATAAATTAAAGAAATAAATAACCGACCTATACTATCAATATTACAAATTAATTTGAAGTGATTTCCTAAAATTAGAAAATACTACAGGTGATGATGGATTTCAATTCATTAATTGAATACTAGATTAAACGGATTTATTACTAGATAAAAATACTATAGCCAGAATGAAGATACGTTCGTCCGTAAAGAAGCTGAAAGTAATAAAATTCAAGTTTTTCTTCCTTATTCAGGATCATTTTCACTAAACGCAAAATACGTTTTCAATGTCATTTAAGCACCTTTTCAATTATTTAATCCTACCAACATCTTTATAGATATTTCCGAAACCTGTTAAATCAGTATAACTTATTATAACTTAATTTATAATTATTTGGATGTTATTTCCTACTTATAGTACAACTTCTTACCAAAAAACTGTCTCAATGTTTTCAATTGCGTTTCTCCAAAAAGTTTTAATGTCATTTCTCCTTTATCATATTAAAAATTAAATTCTTTATATAGAAGCTTCGTCAACAGAGGTAATGAAGTATAACTGAATTAAAATAAAATTTAAATTTAAAAAAAAAATACAATATTTCGTATCGTTATTTAAAGATAATAATAACGTCATATAAACTGGATGGAGTGATCACAACATTTGTAAACAAGAAACTGTTATCAAATTATGTATTTTAAGAAGAGAAGATTTCCTAATACGTTTTATCAAAATCTTCGCTGCATATTTAAAATCTCTCTCTATATATAAGAGCACCACGTCTAATAATTGAACACAATTAAAAAAAATTGAACGAAAAGATGAGGATCGTTTTTGCGGTTATCGTTTTAGCTGTAACTCTCGGCTGAGGTAAGTGTTTTGTAAAATGTTCATTTTGGTACATTTTTTATATATTTTCAATTTTACTTCCGGCCTGAAACGAGTTTAATCTGAAGTTTGCCAAAAAATGCCAGGATTGCAAAGAATCGAGCAAAGTCGATCCAGATTTGGTCACGAAGTCCCAGAAAGGTGAATACGTCGAGGATCCGAAATACATGAAGTTCTCCTTCTGCATGACTAAGAGTTTGAACTTATTAGATGCCGAAGGGAATTTTAAGGAGAAGACTTTTCTGATCAATCTGATGGATAATGCTTACTTAGTCCTGAAGAGGTGCAAATCGGAGGGCTTAAAGGAGAACGGAAATGGGAAGAGATCTTTCATCTATTTGAGATGTTTGCATCATAGTGTGCATTTTCATTGTTAATCACGTTTTTACGATTTACTTTTTGAGTAATTTAGAAAAATATAATTTTTCGTTCATTCTTTTGATAACAAATTAGAGTTACAAATATACAACCTTTGAATCCTTATATATTCAGCTTTGATTTCTATATTTAATCGTCTTTCTACCATTTATAGTTTTTGAGTATTTTTGTATATTATATTTAGTTTGGAATTTAGGGAATTTGATTTATCTAGAAGCATATTTATAATAAACACGCTCCAATTTATCTAGAATATTTCACAATTGCAAACGAATGTCGTACTAGCGTTATCAACATTCTCGATATAAAAGCAAACAGATCCTGCACATTTTCAATTAAAAATATCAAGTCTAAACATGAGGAGTGTTCTATTAGTTTTCGCTTTAGCCTTTACGCTAATTTCGGGTCAGGTAAGTCCTGTAATATAACATAAAAATCATTGATATAGAAGTATGTTAATTTGGTTTCAGAATTGGACCGAAGTTAATACGAAAGTCTTTGCATTGTCCCATTATTGCACGATTTCCGCCATAGTCAACAATAAATTAGTTGAGAAATCGATGCTGGGTAAGTTCGTCGATGATCCGAAATTCTTGGACTACTCATCCTGTATAGCCGCAGAGTTGGACCCCATGGATGAAGATGGAAAGTTTGAAGAAAATAATTTCGTGACGCTTATTCTGGACAATTGGAAGACGACGATGAATAAATGCGTTGTAGATGCGAAGAAGGAGACAAGCAGAGAGAAGGAATATTTCGAGTTCGCCAAATGTTTGTGGAAAAATTTAAATGAGACTGACAACACTTTTGATAATTAATACGAAAAATTTCAATTTCAAACCATTTGGCTATTAGTTGCCCTTCCAATTACTTTAAATAATAATTTTATTTATTTAGAAGCTGTTGAAGCCAAATACCTGGGTATAATTTTAAATCGCACACTTACATAGAAAAAAATACATAATAACTAAACGTCAATCACGTTTCTACGATTTACTTTTTGATAAATTTACAAAAATGTAATTTTTCGTTGTTTTAATTTTGATAGCAAATTACAGTAACAAATTTACAACATTTGAATCCTCATATATTCAGCTTTCATTTCTATATTCAATCATCTTTCTACCATTTATACTTTTCGAGTAATTTTGTATATTACATTTAGTTTGAAATTTAGGTAGCACTTGTTTTATGCATTTTGACGTATTTTCGCACTTTGATTTATCTAGAAGCATATTTATAATAAACACGCTCCAATTTATCTAGAATATTTCATAATTGCAAACGAATGTCGTACTAGCGTTATCAACATTCTCGATATAAAAGCAAACAGATCCTGCAAATCTTCAATTCAAAATATCAAGTCTAAACATGAGGAGTGTTCTTTTAGTTTTTGCTTTAGCCTTTACGCTAATTTCGGGTCAGGTAAGTCCTGTTATATAACATAAAAATCATTGATATATAAATAATTTCATTTAGTTTGACAATTGGCACGTAATTAGAACGGATATCTATACATTGTCCCAATATTGCGTGAATTCCACCAATATCGACAATGAATTAGTTGTGAAATCGATGCAGGGTGAGTTCGTCAATGATCCGAAATTCTTGGACTACACATCCTGCATAGCCACAGAGTTGGACCTCATGGATGAAGATGGAGAGTTTGAAGAAGATAATTTCCTGAAGCTTATGCTGGAAATTTTGAAGACGAAGATGAATAAATGCATTGTCTATGCGAAAAAGGAAACAAGCAGCGAGAAGCGATCTTTCGAGTTTTTCAAATGTTTTCGAAAATTTTTATAATTAATACGAAGAGTTTCAATTTCGAATTACAACAATTATAAGTAAATTAAAGTAATTTTTGTGTTTTTCTGTAAAATAATTTTCATTATATTAATAACTAATGCAATTTATAACTAATGAAACAAAATCAACATTCATCCCAAAGAAAGGAACCTGTCCTCCAGTTACTTTTTTTATTTCGTGTAATTTTATTGACAATCTGGTTATGATTGTGTACATTGAGTAAATTTAACATCGCGGTTGACATTAGATAGGTGATCTTTACCGGTGGATAGTTACCATAATGATGATTTTTTGTTTGATTGGGAGAAGATCGCAAATAAAATTTTAATATATAAGGCTGTGTGTTAAAACCGGTGTAGACCTGTGGTTTGGGAGCAGCGAACGTTATCCACAATGACCTCCAAATTAATACATTGAAATCTCTATGTTTAGTGAGATAAAAAAGCATCCCAATACTCTAGCAATAAATTTATTAGACAATAGTGAAACTCCACATAGACCAAAAAGGCATAATACCCTTGATCTCGTTTATAGATTTTAAAATTAGAAGAACGTTGTTAGTTATTTGTTTTTATTGTTAAAATTAATAGTTATTTATATTATATAAATTGGAAGGTTTGAAATGGGAAACTTGTAATACATTTTTGTAAATAAATTTTAAAAAAATTGAATGTGCTCCAAATGCATTTTTTTTTCGAATAAATGTGCAAACAAAGCGTTAATTAAATTCCTCAAGTATGTAAAAATTATGAGTATTGATTTATATAAGACAAGATCAATTCATTAAATGAATACTGGATTAAACGGATTTATTACTAGGCATCCCATAAATATTTATTGATTTATTTTTTTAATTAGACATATTTCTTAAACGAAAAGATTTAATGCTCCAAGAAAGTACAAATTTTGCGATTTATAGTATTTTGGTTACAGTTCTTGTATAAGTTGGTTCTTGTAGATAGGTAATTACATATTTCAAAAAAAATCTTTGAAAGAAGCACATTGAAACGTCTAATTCTTGTTATGCAACCCCACTACAAGGACTTATGTTCAGAATCCTAATTTATATAATTAATCTTCGATCATAAATTCGACTGTAATTTCCGAACTGCAAAATATTATTTTTTTAAAATTGAGTTTTAAGAATAATAACGAGTTGTTATTTCGTACAGAATTTTCCATATTTACTTATACAAAAAAAAATGGCGCTAAATTTAAATCTTACACATTATATAATAAAGGAGATTTAGATGCATCAATAACAATAATATTTGAAATATTCAATATAACCATAAAATAATATTTGGAAATGTGATAATAAAACTGAGTGGTGACCCAACAAAGTGAATGCAAACTAAACATTATAGATTTTAATTTTGCGACGAAACGTAATTATTCAATTAAGAGTGCACCCGCTATGGGCGTAATTAGATCATAATGAAAAATAATATTTTCCCTCTTCCATCCAGAGTGTGTTCATGTGCATTCATTCATAATTCAAATGACTTTTGTGCACAGTTGACACGGCGGCTCGCACTAACGTGAATGCATTTTTCGACGTCGCAACTATTTAATCTTTATAAAATATTTAATATATATTGTACTGCTACCTGTTATTTACACCCACTAAAGGTATATGTACATATAAATATTCTATACCAAAAACAAAACTTACCATTGCAATAAAACCAGTACATAAATATATAAATACATTGAATATTCATGATAAAATATAGTACTTATACGTATTGACTAAACTGCCATAAAATATTAATACCTAATTTATACTGTTACCAATAATATTTTTCTTTCTCAAACACAAAATGTTTATAACAACAATTTTTTTTAGGAATTATTCACTTAGTTTTCACCATAATTATAAAATATAACAATTAAAAAATCATTAGTTTTCAATTAGTTTTAAAAAATTATTTATTTTTCCTTTCAGAATACATAAAAAATTATTAGTTATTTTCTTTTTTCATAATATTTATAGAAGAAACAGCATTAATTATTCTGCATAATATAAATTCATTGAATAATTTATATTATTGCGAAGACGAAAGATAAATAATGAATGAGATTAAAGCATTTCGGACTTAATTAAAAATGATAGCAAAGCGGCTTATGTAATTTTTGGTGGATGCGCCGGGCGTTAACTGAGAAATATGATCAAGTGATGCAACAATCTGGATGGATTGCAGGAGTAAAATATTCATACATTCAGTATATAAAGCACATAAACAAATTAATTGTAATTCATATAGTAGTGAAAAAGGCGATGCGCATTTAAAAATATTGTACACATGTTTATAAAATGTATGCATAATTGTTTGTAAGATTAAATTTGTTTTGTTTAGGTTGTTTGCTGTTTCCGGAATTCTTGAGCTAAAACTAACTAGAGTAGAAAGTTTGCATATAAAAACACGAAGCTAGTAGGACTACAGGAATTATGTAGTTTTATTTAAGTACTTTCAAGTTAATTTTGTATTAGTAAAACTTTTTTACAAATATTATTGAAAACAAAACTTTAGTAAATTATATTATAATTATCATGGTTGTATTTTCTAATGCTTTAAATACTCAACAATTAAAATATCTTATATCAATTTTACGTCACGTTTGCTCCATGCTAATGATTACGTAATATGTTTAGATTAATAACATATTTTCATAAAATATAGTATAATGAAATTTTCTTATATTTTATTGCAATTCTATATAACGTTTTCAATTATTACTTTATTATTACTTTTTTACTACAAATCCTTATGTCATTTTACATATATATACGTGGCCTAATTTATATTTTCATTTATTTATGATAAATAATTTTTTAAATCTCTCATTTTGAACCTAATCCTATTTATTTTCCAGCCAACTCCATACATTTATATTATAAAAATATTTATTTCCATTAGCATTACCGTTATTCAAAGTTTTCATTTACACTTTCAATCATTTCAGAATTTTATGGACATTTCAAACTTTAAAATGTATAAACAAAAATTACATCAAAGTAATGGAAAATCTAGCTTAAAATATTAATTCTTAGATTTAGATTTATTCTAGTTATATCACGTATTACATTCATATTACAGCACTATTTAATTTGATTTTGCTATTAAAATGTAAAAACGTGAAACATTTTTTATTTGTTTCATAATATTCATAATTCTATAATGAAATGGTTATGTTTATTCTACTATTTCATTATTAAACAATTCATTTTCATTAAAATTAATGGCGAGTGAAATGTTATTCAACCATTTCTTTTTTTTATGTCTTGCAGCTCCCATTGTTCTAGTGCAATTTACATATGTCATACACAAATACATGCAATTGTTCTTTTATTTTGAGCACGTAAATTTCATTTCTGTAATAAATATTATGATAAATTTGTTGTTTATTGTTGATTATTTTCATTTTACTTTCAAATAATTAGAATTGCAATAAATATTAAATCTCTTAGATTTATCAGTATATAATTTAATAAAATCAGCAAAGTATTGCTATAACTCGCATAATGCGACTTCGATCAGTGCGGATTCACTGCTTAAAAATGTTGTAGAACAAAATAAGAATAAATTCTAAAGAAATATTATGCAAAACATTTTTTTCTTTTTTGTATTTATTCACATCGTCGCTTCAAAGAGTCCGGATATTGACAGAACTAGCTAACTTTTATAAATATGGTCAGAATGTTAAGTAAAACTATTCACAATTTTGTGAATTTAATGGATTTTTCACCCCAGTTTATTTAGTAATCTATAGATTCTAGTATATTTAGTGTACTTATTTATTTCTATATAGTTATTATGTAAGTATTGCCTACGTATTAAATCTTGGAATACATCAAAACTTCGATCATTGCAGATTCACCAATTTGAAAGTCAAGTCTCTTATGTGATATTTATTTATATGCGGTTACAAAGTCCTCGATAAGTGCGGTTTTGAACTGTGCGGAATTGATTACCCAATCGGCCATATGGCCGATACGTTCCGGTGTACCGCAGGGATTGGTACGGGGACTTATTGTATCTAATCTTCACAGCGGACTTGCCAATAACACAACTGGTCACATTAGCCACCTATGCAGATGACAGAGCAATTCTTGTATACAATGCTAATAGAAGGTACATGCTTCCAGGAGACCCTGAACAACAAAGTATGCTGAAAGAAAATGCGAATGAAACAAAATCCGCACATGACACCTTTACAATGCGTAGACATATATGTTCACCGGTTTTCTAAACAACACCCGAGCTAAAGGAGCCAAGTATCTGAGAAACCACGTAGTTCATCGCTTGAGCTGGAAGAACCACATAAAAGCCAATAAGAAGCAATTGGCATTGTAATTTAGAAAATGTACTAATCTATAAACAGGTTTGGTGGTCTGACTGTAAGTTCATGTAATAAAGAGGTATCAATTGAAGACATTGAGGCTGATCATAAATACACGCAAAGCTAGTAAAAGAAGAGATCAGAAAAGTCAACACAAACTACCATCAGCGACTGGTAGTCTACCGAAACCACCTACTAGTATGGTTGACTAATAAAACTAGCCATTGAAGGAGACTCAAACGATTCTAGCCACAAGATTTCATATTTAACAACATGTAAACTGTGCGTGTTTGAATACTTGAGAATAATGCCCCACCAGAGCCATTCTAAAATTCTTAAGTCCCCTATGTAATATATACATAATACGTAATACGGTTAAACAGTAGATGTGTCCATTTTCGACACAACACTGTTCTAGAAAGATTGCTGAATTTGGAACAAGAAATCATCTATAAAAAAGTTACACCGAAAAAAAGTTTTCAAACATAAATTTTCAGTCAATTCTACCAAAAAAATGCACATTTCCATGAAACACATATATACAAACAAACGTGAAAATATGAATTACGCGGCGCGCTAATTAATTCAGTAAGTGCATTTAAATAATCGAACGCGTTGCGTAATTAATATATATATATATTTAGTCTGTGTGTGCATTGTGCGATGCGTTTGTTTGAGCCCGTTTGTTCGCTTTATATTATTATTTTTTTTATGTTGTTGTTGTTGCTGTACGTTTTCCGCAAAGTTACGTAGTGAATTGCACGTGAACGGGCATAGAGGCGAAAACGAAAAAACAAAACAAAACAGACATACAACAAATTTACATTTAAATGAGTTCGTTTCGGTTTTAAAATATTATTGTCGTCTAAAAGGTCATTGCGAATAAAACGAAAATTAATGGAATGCATTGTAATTCCAATCAATTATCTGGCTTTATTGCTATTCATTGTATAAATCATACTCGTATTATCGCAATATGCATAAATATCGTTTTGTGCGGTCTACATTTATGTTGCGCAAATTTCATTCAAATTGATAATATTTATATATAGACTTTTCGACGAAATGTAACTAAAATTTCCTCAACGATTATATAACAATATTATACAAAACTCATGAAACTAGTTTAAAGCAAGTTAGAAAATACAATTATTCGTTGCAATTAATTTTAATTCAACACTGAAATAATTTTCCATTTATATTAGTTAGTTACTTCATGTTTTTACCTCTACAATTACTTAATATAAAACAAATTATAAACTTATTCGTTATTTCCTAATAAACGATGCAATTTACTTAAAAATCAATTAAGATATTATATTTTTTTTATTTTTTCTGTAAAAATAACATTTCTTTAAATTTAAACAACATTAAAACAAACAAAATACAAGACTGGAAAAAAAAATTGATTACAAAAATTACTAAATCATTGCAGTAAAATAAAAACAGGTGTTTTAATTTTATTGTAATCTCTTTTTTTCGAAATTATAAAAATATTGTTTGGTCAGAAAAAAATATTTTTTAATAAATTCTTTGAATAAGCACTATTAATTAATAAAACACAAATATTTGTGTTATTCCCCAAGAATCGGTTAAATAATATAATAAATAATAATTATTTAATATACAATTGTTGACAAATATAAAAATATTTTCATCAATTAACATTGTTTTAATGGCATGTATCAATATAGTGAATTATTATTTTTGTTTAGGTTTAAAGTTTGTTTTACACATTTAATGTAATGTATCATAATTATATTGAGCTTTGGTGATTTTTGTATAGTTTTTGTTATTAGTATTATTAAAAAATGTTAACTATTGAAATATTTTATAGTGGTTATTAAATTAATCGTGTAAATTTTCCTGTCAAAAAATGGTTTTGATGATATCATGTGAATAGTTGTAAATTCTGTATGCAATATATGCACTGAAATCATAATAGGAAAGAAAAAAGTGTCTCTACACAGAGGCTGACTACGTTATTAAAGTGCAATGGCAATAATTCTGCTTTTGATTGAATTCGCTTGTTCCTGCGAAACGTAGATTCCTATGAGTGTAACGAGCCACATGTATAATATATACGTACAAACACATGCTTGATATGCAAGGGGTGAACTTTTAATTTGGTTTGTTAAAACACAAGGGCTTGTTTGAATTACACATACGCGCGCGCTCAGAGAATCCACCCCTCGTTTCCATATTACCCCAAAACATGCTGACAATATTATATTGCTCGTATATATATAAAACCGCCGAATTCGGCAATGAATTAATGGCCGAAGAGGAATCCCAATTATTCCGACCCGGAAAATTAGTTCATCAGTGATAAAGGATTCTCGGACCACTTAAATCCTTTGCTTTCAGATCAAAGCGACGATGTTCCTCTTCTTCTTATTCCCAGTCCCGCTTTAGTTTATTTTTTTCCTGTCCCCATGTTTAACTTTGTAATCTAGAGTTACAGATAGAATACAAAAAAAAAAGGAGATGGAGTATATGAGGAAACAAAGAAGGTATATCCTTTATTTTTGTTTCTTTCGCGTGCATTGCAAATCCGTTTGATGGGGACCGAGGGTCTACGGATATAAACTGGTCCCTTGCGTGCGTCCCTTAATATATATAAACATACTAAAACACGGACTGTCCTGCGGTATTTAAACTACCTTTTCCCCCGCCCGAATCCGGAAGCCCGACCAGGGGAATAAACCTGCTCAACTTGACACAAAGTTTGTAATCTTAAGTAAATTCATAAAGAGAAAATTTCCCCTGGGTGGTGTAACGATATCTGCCTCAGAAAATAGAATCAAACGGAAAAAAAATAAAGCATGGAATAAAAAGTTACGTGTATATAAATATACACATTGCAGCGCATCTTCAACGATGCACCTCGAATTGGTCTATACACCCAGGCCCTTTTACTGCTAATCACTATTAACTTCTTACTAACTTCCGTTTCGAAAACTTCCGGACACTTTATTTGCCTTTACTTACCGACGAACTGGTAATTACGTGTTGCATAATTCAAGAATAAATATTTTACGCCGTGTTCTCTATGTTTCTTTTTTTGTAATTTATTTCATCCTGTAATTTTACAAATTACCTGAAGCTTCTTCTTATGTTATTTAAAAAACTTTAGTTTCGCGCGGCGTATTAATTAAAGAAAGTTATAATTATACTTTGGGTACACGTTGTCTTATTTAAATAGGAATATGTAGTTGATAATTGCAGCTTGTCGAGTCGCGAATGGACAAAATAAATTCGAAAATGTATGTCTTTTTACAACACTTCCAACATTTTATATAACTTTACAAACCTCTTATATAATAATTAAAAAGTTTCATCTTATTTAAACTAAAGTCTCTTATATACTGTAAAATATATCTCTTTTGGTCGAAGGGAATTTCTATGTAGATTCCTGTTGTTTTTTTCAATAATCTATATTTTAGGTTACCAATGGAGTTGAGGTAATGCCAGCAATTATTATTCATCTAGACCAATGTTTCTCAAACTTTGTACTTAAAAAATTTATAGGACTCCCCGAAGAATGGATATGATAGATCGGACATCAATTTTCTGTAATCCCGCAAATATTTTTTTGGGACACCCCTTTAACAATCACTGATCTAGACTTTTGATTCTAAAGTGTCTTCAATTCGAAATTGTTCTTAATCTATAATAATTAAATTGTATTGTATAGAAGCCGTGTCGTAATATTTGTTCTGCGTTATATGGAAACCACATTATGAGAATACCATGTTATAGCAGTGTTTACTTATTACTATATATTTTATTGTTTATATTCAAGTCCAAGTTTTATCTATGCCACCCGTATTTCTTCGTAATCAACAAATCTCGTTATTCATTGGAAATTTTAAAATCATAAATCCTTCCAAGAAGTTCTTGATAATATAGCTAATAATTTATAATATGTATTATTAGTTTGCAAAATAATGGAATAAATTGATAATTTAAATTATAATTTATAAATTCGAATATAAACAAATATATTTTTAATATTTGAATTTATAAATTATAATTTAATTTCACAGATTTCAAGGACAAAATCTTATAGTCTATACAATATACCAATATACATAGTTTAAAGTTAATTTAGGAACAGCTAAACATTTCGAAGAAAAAATGATACTATATTAGTTACATTCGAGTACAATATAATAAGAACTTATGACAATCTAAAATAGTAGAAATACATCTACAATAAAGATGAAGGAATTGGAAATGTAAAAATTTGTAACTTTAAATTTAAGAAATTTACTTGTTACTGTTTTATTGATTACGTACTTGAAATTAAATTAAATTATATATATATATATAAAAAAACTTATTACGGTAAAATTGTTATATATAACGTATAAATGTTTATTAATAACTGGTAATAGAAGGATAAACTAATATAGCCAGACTTCATAAGGGCTGCAGTCCCTCCAGTATAGGATGAAATATCTTATTTTATTGTCATAGTTTGAAAAAAAAAATATCATTGACAATAATTAATGAAGTAATGAATTCTGTTATATTTTTGATTCCATACTAATTTTGTTTTAGCAATCAATTAAAAATTACTTAAATAAATACAGCAATACCTCGCATAGTACCGCTTCGATATGGATTATATATAGACCTGTTTGAAAATTTCTTTTTTTTTTTTACTTTTATTATTTATTCACAACCTACCAACATCTCTGGCTATAAGTTGAATGTAAACATTTCTAAATAAACTAAATTTTAATTGAGCAAATTAAAAATAAATCAATATTGCACAATACATGTTTGTGTATCACTAGAATACATTATTTATTGTTT